GGTGGACGTAGCCCCAGGTACCATGAAACATCCTACTAGAGTGGCCAACAGATTTGGTATGGACCCTCTGTTCAAAATCAAGGTTATCGAAACATAGAAAAGATCCCAAAGTCGGCGCAAGTAGTTTCCCAATCTTGGTAGAGATCCGAAGGCTAGATCGGCGGCTAAGCTTATTGAGTGCATGATGAGCGGTTTTTCGAGAGGAAGAGAGTCCCACATAGTTTAGGAATAGGTTCACCCGGTTGGTGACCCCACATGCAAGGAAAGTCAGGGAGTTCGCGAGCTGATGTCCATTATTTCTACGGTTTTTCACAAATGCCACCATGGAGCAAATGGTTTTTGCAACCTATAATTTTGAAATAAAATCCAGTTAATCAATTTTTGATAACATGATGCAGTGACAATTGAAAAATAATCAAATTACCATGTAAGCTCGTTGATTACAATCAAAGGGCAAAACATCATTCAAATCATCGCCAATCGCATCGGTTTCTACATGTGCTGCTGGAATCGGATCCTCGCCATCGTCTGAGTCATCCTCACGTTGGTTGGTATCAGTGTTGCTGTTTGCTTGAATGGCTAGCTTTCTGTAGATCAGTTGAAATAGAAAGGGCATGTGTTCTGTCACCAGTTCATCGTCTCGTAATTTCTTTGATGATGGAGTAAAAAGTTGCTCGGTGATTTTGTTTGTATTGTGGTACGTGCCATCGGGGTAAGCTCCACTTGGTGGTTTTTGTGATTGAACAATTTTTTTGGCCTGGTTTTTCAACAGCAAGGCAGCAATTAGTGATTGAAGAATAAAAAAGTAATTAAAAATAGGAAATGTTGGTCTGAAAGTGAATGCGATACCTGATCAAGTATAAATTTCTCCCACTGAGCTTTTCCATCATTATTTTGGCAAACAAACAAGCGGATTACTTTCTAACAGCTTTAATGTTGATTTCCATCCTGTCTTAGTCCTCCAGTAACGTCGTTGAATAGCCATGCCTATATTATCGCTTGTCAGGAAGGAAGCGAGGAACGATTTCGGAGTATGATTCATTTGAGCGATGACACTACATATAGCCTTGAGCTTGGAAGTCTCTGTCCTCTTTGTTCTTTGGAATCTGGTTCCAGCGGGTCATACCATTGTTGTCTTGCTTACGACCGCTTGCGAAGGTTGGAAACGGATGCTTGCGAGGTAGAAACGACAAAACACTGCTCGCGAGGTCAGAAACAACTGCTT